TTGGTGCACCAGATCGTTCTTTATCTTCAACATCAAAATCATTATTTTTGAAGCGTCTAAACCAATCTCTGCATGTTGTTTCCGACAGAGCATGGTCGCCGTAAGTCTCAACAAGAATTCTGTGTGCTTCAGCTGCAGATTTTTTTTGAATAAAATAGTGCAATAAAATTCCCCGCAAATACTCTTTTTTTAGCACGAAACTAGACATGTTTAACACAATGAAAAAATAAGTTGTTTACACTTTGGTGAAATGACGTATACTGAATTTCAAGGTCGCTTATTGTACTTCCTTACAGATGTGTCACCATCTAAAAATAAACACACGTGGTTCTGGTAACGCCGTCTGTTGGAAAACAGTGAGAACTTATTCAAGGTCCTTATATGTATTTTAAACTATAATCAATTCAGAAATAGCTTCAATGCAGAGTATCTAACAAACAAAGGATATATTTATTTATTTATTTTAATTTAATTGGAACTGTCAATGGACAATAGATTTCCACCCCATATAACAAAATTATTCAAGATTACAATAATACACAATTAAAATTAACAACAAAAATAAATACAATAAAAATTAAATAATAACAAGAAATATGTAAAACAAAAAAAAAAGAGGAAAGACAAATGATATAAGGAAATAACAAAATTACACATTATATAGAAATTATTGGCATAAAATGTTTGTAATTTGTAAAGTCGTGATGATGGTGATGTTCAACATTAGACATGTAATCAATGGAATGATAAATGAAAGATCCACGAGATAGTGATAATTGATGAAAAGGAGTATGAGACATGATAGGGATTGAGTTTTCCTAGAATAAACTTTCAGTTTGAGCCAATAATTGGGTATTATGCCATTAAAATATTTATGAGTTAAAATACAATATAGTCAGTTCAATACTATAGTTTTGTACATTATCTAGCAAAACATGAAATCATAGATAAAATTTTATATTAAATTGAATAAATATTCAGAATATTATGGTGATGACAGATATGTAGATAAACAATGCTTTGGATATAATGATCTCATAAATAGTGATTAATTTTTATAGATTTTATATAAAATTCAACAACTTTGAATATCAGTTAATTGATAAATGAGATCTCTATTTTTATTAAATTAATTTCAAAAGCTGTAAATAATGTAACCAGTTTTAAAAAGTGGTAAAACTCATTTATTTAAGTTATACATATTTGATTTTCAACATAATCATCATTAGAATGATGCATTTGTTTTTTGGACATTGAACTCAGTTTTGCATTTGTGTATGAAAAAGGTTTTCAAATTTTTTTTTAGTCCTTTCTTGTGTGGTAGCTGAAATATCTGCCTTTGACAAAAAATATCAATCTTTTAACAACACTTTTAATTTTGGAATTGACCACAACACTGATGATGCCAGATCTAAGTGTGAGGAACAAACAGACCCCCAATAAAGTGTGATTTTGGACTTTAATTATTGGGAAATTCAATCATCTAACTTCGAGCATTTTATCAAGTTAAGCTAAAAGCCATAAAATTTATTTCCCATGGAGTTAATTTTTTGTTGAGGAGGATCCAGCTAATCAGTGATATGCCACCCAGAACTTTCGATAAAATGCCGACATTGGACGTCAGACCCTTAACAACAACCTCCTGACCTCATGGGAAAAACCCAAGAGGAATGACAAGGAAGAACAAAAAAACACCCGAGGTCAGTCGTCTTCCAAAGTCCGTCCACCAAAGTCATCCTGAAGGATTAATACTGTGACCAAGAATCCAGAATTAAACCCGTGACAAAGATCGTGCCTCTTTAAGGATATCATCCCCCTTCACTGCCTCCACACCTCCGTGCTCCTGTTACCGGACAAGACCCATTTGATCGAACGTTCCATCGACGGGTTATCCAGTCATTGTATAACAGATTTGACTCAGTTGAAAGGTATTTATCAACACGCAATTCGTTTGTAAACTCTTTCTCTCGAATGGCCTAGTATAGGCCTAATTAGGGGAATTTTAGGCATGCCCGATATTGAATATATCTGTATTTTTCTTTGGTTCTTATTAAAATTATTATTTGTTAGTTAATATGAGTCACTTCCTCGTCTCTCTCCTCACCTCTGCTCCGAAGCCCACTGCTCAACCGCTACTGCTCGCATGACGTAAAGTCGCGATTTCCGAGTCCTGAAAGACTCGGTGGTGTCACATCCTGATGTGGTGTCAACGAGACACCGACCCTACGGTCACACAAGCTATAGTCGCGTTGGCATAAGTCATCATAGGTATAATTAGACATCGTCGGTTAACTAGTCAGTTTTCTGTGGTCCCGGCTGACTTACATAGGCATTAATGTTAAAAAGCTCTGGTTTACTCGACCACTGTTTAACTCATTTACACTGGCTAAATCAACATACTTGTTCTGTCCCACACTCATTTAGATGTCTGATAAGTTGACTCTCCACTTGAAAAAAATGAGTTTACACCACACAACTTAATATCACAGCAGGATCCAATTTTTTGCATTGTCTCACCTTTCATTCTTGCATTATTTGCAGCAACTGTTTTGTATTTCTGTTAGAAATGTGTATCCGAAACCTAACATTGCATACGCTGAAGGAAAAATACGAATTTGTATCTGAATTTGAATGTAATGAAACTTCACAAACGGAGTTTGCAAAAAAAACCTAAGAACAACATTGGTGGGAATTATGAAGAAAAAAGAGGAAATTAAGAAACTTTTTCTTGGGTCTTCGTCATGGATGACTCGAAAACACCAGAGAAAGTCATCGTGCAAAGATGTCGAAAATGCTCTGGTACGTTGGCTAAAGCAAATTCTTTCATCAAATCTTCCTGTTTCAGGGCTAATACTGAAACAAAAAGTGATGGAAATCACTGACGTACAGTACTTGGAGTAGAAACCAACTTTAGTACTTGAGATTTTACTTAGGAAAAACTCCAAAAGGAAGTGCAGTGGCACCCTGATGCATTCCCACATCTGCTCCTGTTTATAGCTTATTCAAAAAGAAAATCATAGCTATTACAAACTTTATGCGTTTAATAAATATTCACTGATTAACAATTTATTTTTAACATTTATTTCTATTTATATTTTAACAAAAATATTTTTGCAATTTATTTTGTATTAAAAGTTGTACAGTCTTTTGGCAACAATGTTAAATTATACAGTCCAGTCTCAACATACAGTAATTATAATATGTAACTCCAAGATAATGATTTTCTTTCAATTCAGGAGAACATATAACATGTTGAGAAAATGAACCTTTTTTCCTGTTTTAGGAAAAATAGATTTGTAAAAGGAATACTTCACAAGCATTTAAACTGATTTTGCATTCAAACTGAGATCTTTAAATGATCTCAGTTTGAATGCAAAAATCAGTTTATTACATGTTTTTTAAATAATTATTATGTAGCATTTTTAGTTTGTTTTTAAATCTTTTAAGCTTAAGTATTATTGAAAATAATACTCATATCAAATTTTATTCTGTTTTGGAAGTAATACACAAATTTTTATTGGTACTTTTCTTTTTATTACTTTTCTTAGAGATGGATTTAGCCTATCAAAAATTGTTGGGCATACCATTGTTTTTGAAATGATTATTCAAAAAGTTTAGATATATTTTATTTTCAAAATGTGTAATATGCATCATACAATTATTTTAGATATAGAAGTCATTTTAATAAATCTTTCCTTTTGTATGAAATAACCCATTTATTAGCTTTATATATGGAGCTAATGAATAGTCTCAAGAAAGTCAAAAATGTTAGTTCAAGACTGAAATTATATGCTGGAAAGAATGAGAAGACTATAACTTTGCTTACAAGGAGAAATTTATTAATTGGAATATTTTCAGAAAGTTTGTGTAATAGCTGAATATTGGTTTACTATTTCAAATGTTTAATTTCTTCTCTCGTCGTTTGGAAAATGAAAAAACTCAAATTATTATTAGACATCAAATTATTTTTGCAGTTACAGCTATTCACCAGTGTCCACCTTTTCTTTTACTTGTACCGTAATATCAGTATTTCAAAAATATTAGTTTTCAAATCAAAAATGAATATTTTTGAAATTACTAATCAGGAAAAACAGTTCTTGAAATGTTTACTACAGGACAATCACATATACTCTTTTCATTATGGTGAATTGTGATACGTACTTTAGATATTTGGCAAACTAGTTAGCTTGAGAGTGTCAGTTCGCTATCCAAAAGTTGTCTCAAGTGTGTAGTTTTGATTTTTGAGTAAACTGTTACTTCAAAATTAGGTTGCTAGGACAAAATGTGGCATTCCTGTTCCATTGATGTGCATAGTACAAGTTTTCTAATAAATCTGAAGGGTTAAGAAAAAAAGTGAGTTAATTTTATTTCACAATTGATTTGATTACAGATGTACACTATGGAATTAACAATTAAAAGAGTTTAACAAGTAATGCATGATCCAACAAAGCCAACATCACGACCAATCATCCGTTGAAGAATTGCAAAGAGTGTTTTTTGACTTTTTTATACCCAAAATTTGCTAGTAAATGTACTTAATATGTGTATTAAGGGGATGGTTTTGTCAAATTTTACTTTAAGGCTGAATTTTGAAGTAAAATTTTTCCCAAAAATCAAAACTGCACACTCAGGACAGTACATATCCAAAATTTAGTCAAGATTTGCCAAATAGTTCTTTCCATGATTTATGAGGGTTTATGCTCATAAACCTGGCATACGACTTTGACCTATTGTGGATAAATCTTCATCACCCACCATACATCTCGAAAGGAAAGTCAACAATTTCATCTTAGACCACCTTTTTCCTTGCCCATACTCCATCTCTAACACCTATGATTTACTCAAACACTTCTAGGAACTTATGGTCCAGGACTTGCTACACTTCACTGTCTGCGACTACCAATCTCTGTATCTGTCCATTCGTATTGAACTGTGCTTCTGCTCCTTTCTCTGCTTTTATGTTCAGGACTTGGATAAACACCATCATAATATTTTAGAACTAGCTGATCTACTTTACCATTTTTCTTTCTTCTCCTTTGAATGCAATATGTTTCTACAAAGTAAGGATGTCCCTATGGGCAGCCCTCTATCACACACTTTGTGCAAACTAGTTACCCTGATGATGCCCATTCAACATGGGTGAAAACATTTGCAAATGTGCACTGCAAATAAGTGCACACTTGCATTTATAAAAGTTGCTGAAATATAGGTTTTTGTGTTTTTAAATTATCTAAGTTTAATAGGATTTGTATGATCTAGTTTTTAATATTTAATACTTTACTTATATGAGTAACACTTTGTTAGAAATTAGACATTTTGACTGATTAAATTGATATTTTATATAAAACTTATTTATTTGTATAAAAATAAATTTGAATTCTTTACCCTGTAGGGAAAACATATTTTCTGACAGTTTTTATGGATGTTGTGTTGTGACTTGTACTCTTTGTGCCTTTATCAGCCTAGTGTGGTTAAGAGAACAAATAATGCATGGAGGTGGACCAGAATGGTTGGAACAAGAACAGGAGGGCATTCAGGTATTTAAAAAAAAAATAATTTTTGTTTAACAATTTACATTTAGTTGTCAAAAATTAGATTTAAAATATTCTGTAGTTAAAAATTATTAGTGATCAGTTTATTGGATGAAAAAGAATCAATTGCTCAATTATTGAAGTCATTTGAAGTATGTACCTCAAGTGATTTTACAGTTGGTTGAGCAATATGCTTGTCTCTTTTGGTACATTATTACCTTAAAATAAAAAATATGTCAAGTAGTTAGGACTGGTTTTATCTTGAGGTTAAATGCACTTTAATCTTTAGAATTGAAGTGCATTTTACCTCATTTAACATTAATGTAATTCTTTGCAATAAACTTCTGACTACATTAACTAGCCAATTTTAGTTAATTAAGTTTATTCTGTGGATTATCAAAAAAATATGGCCAATATTGGTTCTGATTCAAATATGGATGATCTTTAGATTGTTTAAATGAAATATATTCTAATCTTGACAGAATATTTTTAAAAGGATTAGATTTGTAATTATGTACAGCAATCATAAATTTTAAGAGTAATTTTCATTTAAGAAAGCAACTGTTTTGTATTTATTGTTAGAAAATAAATAAACTGTATTTTCTATAACACAATGATAAATTGTTTCTTATCATTAAGTATATGTATTCAAATATAAACGTATCTGTCAAATGCACTAATATATTTTCCCTTGATATTCCAATTTGTCTTATGCATTTGGTTAATTTTTTCACTTAAGATTGCTACAAAAGATTTTGCTGTCACGTATATAATGGTGGCCTCAGCATAATTTAAATCAATTTCTTGGATTGATACGACCATCTTTAGCAAATAGAAAATGTGTCTTTGAGATAATACTTGGTTATGTGTTGCAGTAATGGTGCAGTAAAAATGAAGTCTATTAAATTAAAGTTTCTAAAACATTTTTCACATTCTACAGATATTGCATTTTCTAAATATTGTTTGTTTTATTTATTTATTTAGACATAGTAGGCAGAGCCCATGATGCGGGGTATACAATAATTCGTTACATGTACATTACAAAAAAATATCATAATCCATCCATTATTACAGAGAAAATTAACATATACATAAATCAAAACAAAAATTGTACAAGTATTATTATAAACATCAAAAAACATCAAAATTAAATAACTGAAAAATAAATATCTGAAAGCCAAATATCCAAATATAAACATATAACATAATAACGAAAAATCATCATGGGGAGAACTATCCAACCAAAAACATCATTATATAAAGAAAAAAAACATTAATTACACCCACCTATAAAAGAAAAAGGATTCAATTATCTTATCCAAAATGTGGATAGTCTCCCAACACTTCTTAGCCACAAGCACACTTTTAAGGAAAAAACAAATGCCACCTTTCGGCAAAAACGAATACTCCAATATGCAAAATAAACAACGATGTACGTCACTCCGTACAAGGGATCACTAAAACAAAATAAAAAATCAACAAAGATTACCTAAAAAATAATTTAATTTTTTGAACAAAATTAATTAAATCGAAATTACTTATATTAGTAATAAGTTCCAAAAAATTCTCCAACGGAATAATAGAAGTTCCAAACACACTTTCCCGAATTTTTTCTAACTTAGAGCATTTAGCAATCACGTGAAAAGCATCCAATAGCTGATCATCCTTACAATACATGCAAATTTCTCTGCGATAATTCTGTAAAAAATTAAGGGAATTACATCTGATTTGCATTACTGTGGCACCAATATTAAAAGAAAAATTATTATTATAAAGCGAACAGTCAAAAAAAGATTTATTTAAGTGCTTGTACCAATCATTATAAGAGCTTGCATTAATTCGTCGATTCAAATCCAGAATAAAATTATCAAAATAATTTAATTTCAAAATAGAACAACTATCATGCTTATTTAATAATTCCTCAAAATTAATACCATTATTAACACAAATTTCTCTTAGACTTTTAGACCACAGAAAGTCCTTCTTATTAAGCACATAACACAAACAAATTCTNTTAGCCGATTCTCCAGCCCCTTCCTCCAAACCATGTATTATTACATTATTAATTCTTCGCTGATTATCCATGTAATCTATCTCTCGTTCCATTTTCGAGACTTTCGTACTAATATTATCAATAAGAGAAGAACTCACCGACTCCAATCCGCCCGAACCAATCCTGGCCTCAATATCCACTAATCTAACCTCAAAATCAACAAGTGCCTTATCCACATTCTTAAGCCATTCCGTAAGATGGTTGAGTCGCTTTATAAAATCCTCCACCTTGTCATTAAGAGCAGCATGCATACGTAATAATAAACGAACACCTTCCGATACATCAAAATTCGAATCTTGCAGTAATTCTGTAACCTCCTCCTCCTGACCTAAACTACTCCTTCCAGGTCTACTTGGTGTTCTCTCCGATATAGTTGGTGAATAAGTCTTCCTCTTTCTGCCTTGAGACATAATAAAACAAGCAAACTTACCTATAAAAGAAAAAGGATTCAATTATCTTATCCAAAATGTGGATAGTCTCCCAACACTTCTTAGNGTCCACCCTGAAGTTCCATTCTAAATATTGGTGAAAGAATTTTTGAAATCGGATGAGTAGTTTCGGAGATTACCTGCTGCATACAAACTAATATACATACATACAAACATTACCTCTTTATAATATTAGTATAGATGTATTAGATGATCAAATTTTTAGTTAACAAAACTTTTTTATACAGCATAATTTTATATTTTATTTTACTATATTAACATTGAAAATAAAGCAGTTCCTGCATACAGTACATGCTTAAAGAATAGTTTAAAGCATTGATCAGATTAACTTATGTTTACTTGAATGTTATTCTAATTTTCAATAGAACTTTTTCACATAAATTATGAATGATAAGTATTTGTTAGTAGTTTCTACAATGTTACCATTTTTTAAAATGAAGGTTACAATTTTTGTAGAATGAACCAGGAATTCAAGTTCCTGCAGAAAACAATAATGCACCGAATGTAATGGATGGTTTGGCAGATGCCGTTCCTAATGGGGAAATTGGTGAAAATATAGGAAATAATGCAAATAATGGTGGCCAAGGTAAATAACTTTTTTAAGTTAGTGAATTTAGCAATTTCTATTTATTAACTTTTCTGGGGATTTTGGATATCCAGAAAAGTGGAATTTAAAATTTCTCACAAAGTTCTCGGAAAAATTAAATATTAGGCTAATATTACATTAATGAACTCAGCCTATATACATATGTGTTTTTATTTTTACTGTGGATTTGTGTGAAATAATGAAAATTTCTATTTAAATTTCTTTGATGTTTTAATGCTTTTGACCTCATAAACATGTGATGTACAGGCTTGACATTGAACACTTTCTTCTAAGGCCTGCACACCTTACAGCATTAGTTTATTTTTCTTATAAACATGTCTTTATGTCTTTCTTATGTATTTATTAAAATTGCAGTAAATTTTTATCAAAAATATCATAATTTCTGAAAATACCATATTTTTAAAACTTTCATAAAAGAGTTTTAAGTTACCAAAGTGGTAATTTTTCAATATGAAATACGAGAAATTTTTTTAGAATTTTAAAACTTTCTTAAGGTAAAACTGCCGTATTTATGTTACAAATGAAACTGTTTTTCTTTTAAGTTATGTCTGTCCTATTAAAATCAGTATTGAAAGGTTCCTATACAGCAGTTTTACCTTAAGAAAATGTTATAATTAAAAATTTCTTTTCGTTATTTTATAATAATTTCCACAAGAATATAAGTCTTGGTAGATTAAAGATATTACAGATCCAGAACAAAATATATCTCTTATGAGATATACTCATCTTTGGTGTTAATAATAAAATTGACTCAAAAACTCACACACTAATCAAAAGTACATTTTGGTCATTATAGTCATTGGGTGAATAGAATGGAAATGGAATGACAGTTATTCAAATTTAAATGCAACAGATGTTTGATTTTTTTAATTAATTAATTTTTCATTTTATTCAAGTTTGTTCATTATATTTTGTTTTTAATTTTAACACTATCATTTTTGTAAAAAAAAGATGGGAGGGGAAAAAAGCATCTACCACACTTAAATTTTAATTGTTATTTCATTTCTGTTTTATTTGTCTGATGAAGATAACATGACAATTATCAAAAGTATTCATGATTAAAGCATGAATTTTTTTTGTAATGTTGAAGACAGATTCTATAACTGACTGAAAAATAGGTTATAGAATCTGCTTTCTTTGACCAGAAAACTTGGTATAAGAAAGTAAAAAATGTTATATAACACTCATCAAATAAACCATCATTAGTTCATAACCAACCAGAAAAATTCTTTCTACAAATGTTTTCATCTATATGTAATCATCAATACCTGAGGATGTCTATTACATATAGATGAAAATGTTCATAGAAAGAATTTTTCTGTTTGGTTATGAACTGGTGATGGTTTATTTGGTGAGTGTTATATAATTAAGTACCCAGTTTTTTGAAATATAGTAAAAAATGTTTTTAATGAAAACTGAAATAGCTTCACACTTTGAAGTAAAATATATTTCATTAAAAATAAAATCCAGAAAACTTGACATTATACAGTATAATTTCAGTGAATAATCAGCTTTCTATTTGGTGGAAAAAAATCATTTTGAAAAATTTTACTTTAAAAAATGTCATTTAAAAGTATTTTGTAAAATGGTTTTTTCCTACCAAAATTAAATTCTTTATTCAGTGAAATTTTATTATAAGTAAAATAAATACAAAAATGACTTGCTAGGAATAGAAACTATGTTATGTGATAATAAATGACATACTTTATTGATAGACTAGCAGACCCCGCCACGCCTTGTTGTGGCTCAAAATGTATCTATTATAAATGTATAATACTTCCCCGTGGGGGAAAATTTTTTGAAAAATTTTTTCTTAGTGTACATTCTGTTGACGTACCCTATTAAAATGCAATCAAAAACGCAAAAACCCGCATCTAAAATAGTATAATAGAAGCCAAGTTTTTCAGAGTAAGCCTTAATCCTGTCTCTCTCCCCCGCGGGGGAATATCGAAAAATCCCTTCTTAGTGTACATTCTGTTGACGTACTCTATTAAAACGCAATCAAAAACGGAAAAAACCGCATCTAAAATAGTATAAATAGAAGCAGAGTTCTTTATGGTAACCTTTTCCGTAAGGCTTACTGTAAAGAACTGTCCATCCCCCATGTTTAACGGAATAATATACAGCCTATGTCCACCCTGAAGTTCCATTCTAAATATTGGTGAAAGAATTTTTGAAATCGGATGAGTAGTTTCGGAGATTACCTGCTGCATACAAACTAATATACATACATACAAACATTACCTCTTTATAATATTAGTATAGATGTATTAGATGATCAAATTTTTAGTTAACAAAACTTTTTTATACAGCATAATTTTATATTTTATTTTACTATATTAACATTGAAAATAAAGCAGTTCCTGCATACAGTACATGCTTAAAGAATAGTTTAAAGCATTGATCAGATTAACTTATGTTTACTTGAATGTTATTCTAATTTTCAATAGAACTTTTTCACATAAATTATGAATGATAAGTATTTGTTAGTAGTTTCTACAATGTTACCATTTTTTAAAATGAAGGTTACAATTTTTGTAGAATGAACCAGGAATTCAAGTTCCTGCAGAAAACAATAATGCACCGAATGTAATGGATGGTTTGGCAGATGCCGTTCCTAATGGGGAAATTGGTGAAAATATAGGAAATAATGCAAATAATGGTGGCCAAGGTAAATAACTTTTTTAAGTTAGTGAATTTAGCAATTTCTATTTATTAACTTTTCTGGGGATTTTGGATATCCAGAAAAGTGGAATTTAAAATTTCTCACAAAGTTCTCGGAAAAATTAAATATTAGGCTAATATTACATTAATGAACTCAGCCTATATACATATGTGTTTTTATTTTTACTGTGGATTTGTGTGAAATAATGAAAATTTCTATTTAAATTTCTTTGATGTTTTAATGCTTTTGACCTCATAAACATGTGATGTACAGGCTTGACATTGAACACTTTCTTCTAAGGCCTGCACACCTTACAGCATTAGTTTATTTTTCTTATAAACATGTCTTTATGTCTTTCTTATGGACACAAACCTTTGAATAAGTAATATGACTGTAGTAATTGTTGGCAAATGTAGCTATTGTAGAAGTCTAATATCCTAAATTTTTCATTTTTTACAAAAATTAATTATTATTTTTAATTTTGTATTAGTAATATACATCATTATTATTATTATTACTAATATTATTAGCACAAAGGGAAAGCATCACAGTGCCAGTCAGGCACTATGATGCTTTCCCTTTGTTATTTTTTCCTTTGCTGTTATGCAGTACCTATATCACTGGCACTGTGGTAACTATATAACTATAATCAATAACTTTTTATTATACTGTCCCTACATCATATTGTTACGTCATATTTGATCATGTGATCATATAAAGATATCTATGCATGTGATCGTTGTTTTTTGTATTCAAAATTTATGCGGTGGCCCTTTATGTCAGATTTAAATATTTCTAATGCTTCTAGTATGTTGATGGAGTCAGGCATGTTTTGTTCTCTTGATGATGGTAGTCTTGTCAAGGAAGGTGTGCACTTTATTATCCATTGCATATGTGAGTTCATTGACTTATGGGGGGAAATCAGTTAATGCTGCATCAGAGATGGTCTAGGGCAGTGGTTCCCAAACTTATGCCCACGGACCCCTTTTCATAGCAAAAACCTGACCATGAACCCCAAGTGAAATAACTCTATACAACTGCATTATAGCAAAATTTCAAATTTAACTTTAATGTCTTGGATGGTGAATGGTGACGTAAAAATAAAGTATAAATAAAACATTTTTTATATTAAAGTAATATTTATTCAAACTATAAATTTTGTTTTAAAATACTAAAGCACATTATTTTTTAATGAGATGAGTGAATCTGATGGGATGATATGAGATTATTTATGTTCGGCTCGATGTTTGTGAGTAACATTCGTAAGTCTCCACAAGTACTAATTTGTAGTCAATTTCTTTTTTTGTGATGAGGTTCATAACTGCACTAAATCCATGTTCTACTAAATAGGAAGATGGGAAAGCAATCAACAGATTCTGTACAGTGGTCCATAATGCAGGATATAAAATTGGTATCTGTTTTTGTAACCAGAATTTGTGATATCTTTGTTCAAACATTGGTTTCAGCTCCTTATTTGTGGATAATTCAATAAGTTTCTCCTGTATTAGTATGGCTTCATCTGAGTTTGTGGGTCTACATGCAAAACGTTCCAACACCCAATCGGGGATGGCCAAGTGAAGAATATCTTCAAATCTTTGGCTGAGGTCAGAATGAAGAGCCATTAAGTGTTGACAATAAACAAGCAAATCATCATCTTGTTTTTGCAATTTCGAAAGATTTGGAAACTGAGAGCATTCTCCTCTCCCCAAGTTTTGTTTGTATAAAAAGAGTTTTGCAACAAATGCAGATATTATACTTTTAGTGTTGATTAAATTTAATTGATTGCCTTGTAACTTCAAATTGGTTTTGTTAAATTTGGCAAATAAGTCATATATGCTATGTCATTTTTTGAATTAATTAAATTGAGCTGCAAATCATTGTCTTTGCTGTCTAGGAATTCCAACACTGAATCAAAGAGTGCATAAAATCGATCCAAACATGCACCTTTAGATAACCAACGAACTTCTGTGTTAAGTAGTAAACGATTATAATCTTCATCATTTTCTAAACAAAGTTGAGCAAATAATTTCTCATTTAAGGTGTTCCTTTTGATTTTATTGACTGCCTGAATGACATAATCTAGTGAGCCATGCAAGCATTCACTAAGGTTTTTGGCGACTAAATGGTGTCGGTGAATGACACAATGTACAGATAATATATTAGGCATAGCTTGTTTCGAGTATACCAGAAAGCCTCGGTGTCGTCCTACCATTGCCAGAGCACCGTCAGTAGCAATGGAGAGGATATTACTCAAGGGTATATCTTTTGCATCAAAAAATGTTTTTAATTTATTAAATATTGTTTCATTTTTTGTATCAGTTTCCAAACATTTGGCAAATAACAATTCTTGGGAAATATTCTTATCTTTTACAAATCTTACATAAGCTAAAAGTAATGCTTCGTTTCTTGGCAAAGTTGCCTCATCAAGCTGTATAGAGAATTCAGATGTTTTTAAGTACTCACATAAAGAATTTTCTATGGACAGCCATTTCATCAATCCTTCTTTGCACTGTATTATTACTCAGTGGAATTCTTTTAAAATATCAGAAGTGGTTTATGCAGCATGGTGCATATTACTTCATTTACAGCTGGTAGAATGAGTTCTTCACCAATGGTGTGTGGCTTTCCCGACTTTGCTATCAGTAAAGAAATGTTATAAGAAGCACGCAGTCCATCATTGTCTCACTCAGATTTTGTCACAAAGACTTGTTTTAGTGACAGTGTTTTCAAATATTTTTCTTTGATTGTTTTAAAAAAAGTTAAATCTTAATCTTTTTTGTCGCTATGGACTTTTGTCAAATGTTCCTTAAGCTTAGAAGATTTCATTGATTTGTTTGACAAAGTTTTATTGCATAGAGGGCACATATGTAAAGTACTATTTGTTGGTAATGGAATAAAGCCATATTTTAAATATTTAACACTATATTTGTGTGCATTTTTTCTTTGGCTCACTCATATTATTATCTGTAAAAAAGGGCAAAAATGTGCATTTTTTCTTTGGCTCACTCATATTTTTATCTGTAAAAAAGGGCAAAAATTTCAGATACAAGAAAATAAAAGAAATTATTTCTTTGCAAAAAACCACTATTTATTCATAAAAACTTTTGTTTCTTGTTTTTTGCAAAGAAATAATTTATTTTAATTTGAAAATGGACTAAAATTACAAAGTAACACTCAAATCAATTAATTATTTAAGATGTAAGGGTAAAATTTTAAGTAATAATAAATAAATAATAAAATAAAATATTGGTAAATATTATATAATAAAACTATTAAATAAATTGACTTTAACAGAAGTATTGTAGTTGTAATTCATTCTATTTTATCAACCTCTATGGCTTTCTTCGACTCCGCAGTCCTTGTTTTTCCTTTCTCAAGTCCAGAGCACTGCCCTGTTCTTCCGTCTGCTCTGAGATCTTGATCAAGAATGGCTCTTCAGTTTTGCCTGATGTTTCCTCCTCTCTTTTGTTTTTTCCAAAATTCAGAGAAACAATAATCCCCCTATCCTTTTGTTCTACCAAGAGTTCTAAGAAGAGATAATCCCTCCTTAAGGCAATAAGAGTTAATATAGAAGTTTCTAGAAGGAAATTATGACAAAAAGGGAAGAACAGAATATAAAGAAAATATAAAATATAACTAAAATACATAGTCTATAACAATATGGCTGACGGCCACAGTATAATTTTACTTATGAGTTTAATATACAAGAAGATATCAAATGTATTCCAATATACTTACGTAACATACTCTTATCTTTGTAACAATAAAAAAAAATTATACAACTTTCTGTTCAAACCTTGGAAAATTTGTTGTATGCACTTCACATCATGTACAAAACAGAATTAAATTGTTGATTAGATGCACAACTCGTCTGGTGTCATATTTTAGACAAGTTATTGCATTTAGCAGAGAGATTTTGTTTATGTTCAAACCTGCATAGATAGGCAGTGATAGATGTACAGTATGTAACACATCACTCAAGAAGTCTCCGGTCCGGTCATATATGGCAACACTTTTGACAGACCCATATGATTTCTGGATAGTACCAACCTTCAAATGATATGTATCAAGATTTCATGAAATTCTGACAATTAGTTTAGCATGAAATAGCTGACACCTTAAAGTTATCAGAAGGTAGTGTGTTTACAATTTTACATGAAAATATGAGCACGCGTAAATTGCTTTTGAAGTGGGTGCCACATTTGCTCACACCGGACCGAAAACAACAATGCATTAATGATTCAGAGCCCTGTTTGGAGCTGTTCAAGTGAGATAAAAAAGGTTTCTTGCATCAGTATGTGACAATGGATGAAACATGGATCCAATACTACACACCTGAATCAAAAAGATCATCAGCTGAGTGGACAGCATCTGGTGAAAGTTGACCAAAGTGACCAAGAACTGGCAAGTCCAATGGCATGACCAAAGTGACCAAAAAATCAGCTGGCAAGGTTATGGTGTCCATATTTTGGGACGTGCATGGTATTTTGTTCATCAACTATCTTGAGAAAGCAAATATTACATGGCATTATTGGATCAATTATGTGTAGAAATCAAGAAAAAACACCCTCACATGCAAAAGAAAAAAGTGCTGTTCCACCAAGACAATGCCCTGTGTCACAAGTTAATGAAAACGATGGTTAAATTGAATGAATTACGCTTAATTACTTCCTCACCCACCATACTCTCCAGATCTGGCCCCCAGTGACTACTGGCTTTTTGTAGACATCAAAAAGATGCTCCAGGAAAAGAAATTTGACTCAAATGAAGAAGTGATTGCTGAAACTGAGGTCTATTTTGAGAGCAAAGACAAATCGTTCTACAAAAAAGGCATTGAAAAGTTAAAGGAGCATTGGAACGAATGTATCACACTTGAAGGGAGAGTATGTTGATGAATAAAGTCAAATTTCTAAAAAAAAATTGTTTATCTTAGTTAGACCAGATACTTATTGAGTGATGTGTTACAGGGGTTGCTCTGGAAAATTTTTAGAATATTGCCATCATTTTGCCAGTTTTAAATTTTCTTTTGCCGCTAAAATTATTTATTGCCATCAGTTTTACTTACTAATTAATGCAGGTACTGATAGCCTTATTAGTTTGGAGTCTGGAAAGCAAAAGTAACATGTTAAACTGTCACTTACAAGGTGAGGGCCAGACGTTTGGGTCTCCAATTCAAACGAAACTTGGTGTGCACGTAGTCTTAAACAAAAATAGCTCCTGATTTCAATAATAGAAGCCACTTTTCAAACATTTCCAAAACATGGGCCTTTGAAAATTTAGTGTTTTGCTTATAAGTGTTTGGAACTTTCATATCCTAGAGTGGCAATGGCTGAGTGAATAAGACACTAAGCCCTAGAATTAGCTAATGTAAGTTCAATCCTTAGAAATTTTAGTTCAGTTTTAGTTTTTTGTGTAACATTATTATGTTGTTATTTTATCACATTATTATTACTTATTAGCGTTATTACAGTAGAGTGTTGATTATCCGAAAGAATTCCAGTCAGCAAATTTAAATTTTCGCTAGTGCTGTGGCACTGCAATCTTTGGCTATAATATTTTAAAATATTATAGCCAAATTTACTTACATTTTAATATTTTAAAATGTAAGTAATTTTAAGTATCTTGGGCTACTTAAAATTACTTACATTTTAAAATATAAATGAAAGTTTTGATAAGTAAAAAAATAATTAATAGAATAATTGAGATAGAAATTAAATTTGTGTGTCTTTATTTTGATATTTTTGAAATGTTTATAATTTTATTATATAATTACATTATTAGATGACATAAATTGGAATCCTATAGAATGGGACAGAGCTGCAGAAGAATTGACTTGGGAAAAAGTATGTAAGTTATATTTTAAATAAGTAAGAATTTTCCATAAGTTTAAATATATCTTAATAATAAAACTCTCTTCTATTTTATGAACAGCTTCTGGGTTTGGATGGATCACTCATATTTTTGGTAAGTTTATTTATTAACATTAATTTTTAATTACAGTTTATAAATAATAGTTAAATTTGTCAAGTTTTCAAATGTTATGATTAAAAAAATGAATGCTAACATTAAAAAATCTATCATATTTCTGTCTTAATTTATATTGTTTAGTTTATTTATTAAATTTGGTTTAAATTGATACATATCTTTGGACACATCTCTGTACTTGTTTAATTGCACTATTTGAGTTATGAGATGAAAATTTCTAAATGAATCTAATTAAATTAATAATTTAATTAATTAATTAATTAACAAAACACACTCAAAACACTTTGTAAATGTGCAGCCATGTTTATTAAGTTCAAACGTTTTTGGTAATATTTAATGACCTTTATCAAGAATAAATGGAAAAAAATCGAACTCTTAGAAAATTTGCATTAACGATAAATGCATTTTGGAACATTTTTAAAAGATATTCTAGTGAAATTAAGTGTGCCATCTCTACAATAGGCTAACCTTAAATAAACACAATAAATATTAGCATGTTAAAAAATAATATGATGTTCAAGATAAACAATAAAAAAATAAAATAAAAATGCAAAGAAAAGCAAAAACATAAAGAAATGAGTTGGGCAAAAACATTAAAGGGTTCTGCCCTAAGTATGCTGTTGCTTAGCCACCGTTCTTGACGCTTACAATACGCTTGATTGCCAAGCTACCGATACTTTACTTGCTTCTCGGAAGTTGATAGATTGCCCTTTTTGGTTGGTTTTGCAGATATGCCAGGCTTCTGCGTATCAAAGGAGCTTTTTGTCACAAACTACTTGTATCAATCTTGCATGGTCTTATTTACCCCCAAGAAGTCAAAGCTGAATGGGACCACTTATTACATGCTATAAGGAAGACTTATCACACACTATTGACATTGTCAGAGCAATCACATAGAAGTGGGTATACACAGGTTTATTATGACAACAGTATGCATTTCAGGCAGGCTGTCTGTCCTTCAGACGTATTTGTTACAATTTGGTGGGTTTACAGGCCTCCGAAAAAACACAAGTGGTTATTCATTAGAATCATTTGGGTTTATGATTAAGCTAGTTCAAAATAATGTCTTTTTATACATACATAAAAGGTACATTTTATTTTGTTGCTAATGCATTGATGACTTCATTTTTAATATTTTCACAGATGATGTATTATGTTTTCCATAGTAATAGCAATTAGAAATTATAATTGTCGTTTAGTGAAATTAATTATGAAGTGAATAAACTATGGAAATGACCCTAATACAAAGTTATAAACAAGATCACAGTTACAAAAGTAAGAACTGTTTTCAGAAAGGTTACATACATTTTTGCAATCAGTTAGCTTGTACAAACAGTGTTTTCTACTATAGAAGTGATATTACTGTAGGGTGGTATTCAGTTTTGATGATAAAAGTATTATCTGCTGTCTAATAAGTTTCAGATGTTTAAGTAGGTGTGCCAGATGGGATATAGTTGTATTCCCTTTGTTTTTGTTTATTCTTATATTATCATAGATTTTGATAATTTCTAAATGTTTGTATAATTTGTGTTTGGTAGTACTTATTTCAGTTTTTAATATTGCATAACATCATCATAATAAACCTGTCTACCACTTCTGTGTAATTGCTCCAACAACATCAATAGTGTGTGATAATGGCTGTATGGAGGATACAAGTCCTCCATAGAGCCAAAAACTTGGTGCTCATAGATTTATAAAATTTCTAAGTTGAGAAATAATTTTTAAGTGTTGTTATTTTAAGATATCTAACTGATTTTAGGTAAGTATTTATGTTTAGACAATATGTATGTATGGTACATATATGTATTGATGTAAAAGCATAATTTTAACAATTAGTAAGATAGTCAAAAATTAACCAATGCATACTCATATTAACCTATTGAAGGATTTAATAAGAGGGAGTGATTCCTGCAATAATAATGAGGTTTCTCATGCATTAGTCTTAGACTAATTCTGTCTTTAGTATTAAAATTCTCTTTTAAAAACCATAATTTACTATAGTCATTTTGGTTATAAGAAACCTTTAGTTATGAAGTTAATAAGGCCAAACAAAGATAAGATTGGAGATGTACATAAACATTTATTTGGTTTACAGTCGACCCCCCTATAAGATCGTTGATTTTTCTGTTTTATATGAATTTCATGTTGTACGAGTCACTTAGATTTTACAAATACGTGTGCCGGGCTGTGAACGGCTCACATATTTGTAAAATCTAAGTGACTCGTACAACATGTAATTCAGATAAAACGGAAAAATCAACGATCTTATAGGGGGGTCGACTGTATTTATATTGTTATGACAGCAATCACTATTGTGTGGTTTTTATGCATCATTCTCTCGCTACTGGATTAAAAGAATGTTTTCTTCAAACTGTAGTATCACATTGCACAAAATAGCATTATTTTGTTGTGCATTAGTTAATTAGACATGTTCACTTATGCAAGTTGGAATGGACTGGCTCTGATTAGAGATGTATGGGATGTAATACTCTTAAGATTAAGATTACTTGAACAGATTTACATACATGTGCTTGGCAATACTTTTCAGATTGTCAGTGACAGATGTTTACAATGTAAGTTGTGTATGAATGTGGCTAATTTTTCATCTTGTTACAATATGATTATTAACAAACAAGCAGATGAGTCTGGTGTAGCTCAGGCAAAAAATAACAACAGCAAAGATTAAGATTATTAAATTATTTTGTACTGCTAATTCGTACTGCCCTTCTGCTATATTATATTATAGCATTCAATTTATATTTACAACAGTTATCTTACGTAAGAGTTTATCACATCAAGTGACCAATCTCACACATTCTAAAATTTTTTAAATTGTGTACAATAGAGGAATAAAGAATTTTTAAAATGTTTGATTGGTCATTCAGTGTGATAAACTCTTATGTAAGAACCTTTATAATTCTATAGCTGATCTTATCCATTTTCACTGGGTTCAAGAATTAGGTCTCCCTATTCCGAGGCTGATTAGAAATTTTTAGATGGGTCTAAAATTATGTTCAATTCCCTGCAAAAACAAAAAAAAAAAAAAAAAACACATTTAATATAGTACAGTAGAAGCAGAATTCTTCAGGGTATCCTTAATGCTTTCTCTTTCCCATAGGGGGAATTTCAAAAATCTGTTCTTAGTGTGCATTCTCATGGCGTACTCTAATTGTGTTCCAAATTTCAACTTTCAACTCTTAACCATTTGGGCTCTACGCTTATTACAAGGGTTACAGTGAATTTTGGATTGTGCTGTCCGATTTCTGGATTTGTGTCTGTCAGAAAGAACACCTTAAGACTCCTTGAACTCAGATTAAGTTTGTTTATTTGACAACTATTTACAATATATATAGCAATATTTTTTGCTTGCTTCTCACAACATAGTCTTAGGCCAAGCTTGTTTCCCTCTTCCAACAGTCATGTTGCCTTATATCTAATTTTTAGATCTGTTGGCTGACCAATCTGGAACTGGATGGGTAGTTCTCCTTCGGGTCTGCCTTGGTTGGCATACCTGTCTCAACTTGTCCAGGATGACTTGCTAACTGACCTTTTTCAGAAAATGTATTCCAATGAGTGAAAACTTGAATTATCTTGTCCCTGTTTGATAGGCCTTCTTGACAGTTATTATTTTTTTTCAACCTCCACCGACCCAGAATAAAAAAACAAGAATGAAGAACAAAACCACTTTATTTTGTAGAAGGTAGTTACAGTCTTGACCTATTTTTCCATATAATTGCCTTGATGATTCAGGCAGACATTATACCATGACATCATCTTTTGTATACCCATGTTGAAGAATGTTGCGAACCATTATCCTCCAAAGATTTTCTATCGGATTCAGGTTGAGACTTCTAGCAGGCCATGTCATCAGATTAATATTTTTATGTTTAAACCACATTTTTGTTGGTTTAGAGGCATGCACAGGGGCATTGTCTTGTTGAAAGATCCAATTTGGTCCACAAATATTTGGTCCAGCTTCCAATAAATGATCTTCAAGCATTCCTCGATACTTCTTTTAATTTATTCTATGAGTTATAAGTGCTAAATCTATGGTTCCATTGAATCAAAACGCACCCCACACCATTATTGATCCCCACCCATTTGGCGTTTTGAAAATATTTGTTTTTTGGTTATTAAATCGTGCCAATAATACTTCCAACCGTCTGGACCATCTAAGTTGAATTTTTTTTCATCACTGAACAAAACTTCAATCCATTCTTTGGACCATGTCATGTGTTTTTGTGCCCAATCAAGTCTGTCACTTTTGTGCTTTAATGAAAGTGGTGGCATTATAGCTTTTTTTCTGAATTTTAACGTTGGAGATTTATTTAAAACTCTCCACACTGTTGTGCTGCTACAAGGTAAGTCTAATTCTTGTTTTATTTTTCTTACTGATGTTTGTTTTGTGGAGCAAACCTTGATGATTTGTCTTCAATCTCGAGGTATAAGCTTGGGTTTTGGACCTATCTTGAAGTTTGGTACATCCTAGCCACGTCTTTTTGATAAATAATCACCAACTGTTGATTTTGGATGATTTATATATGCTGCAATTTTTCCTATTGACTCGCCTTGTGATTTATAGGGATCAATCTGCTCTTTTTCATAATCAAACAAATTCTTTGTTCTACCCATTTTAGAACATTGAACAACATAAAGAATTTGTATTACTATTAGATATGTAAGCTGATTTGCATATTTCAATGCTTGAAACTAAACAATATTCTGTTTAAGTCATAAAATGAGTGCCTGTCCGCATAAATATGTAACAGTTTTTTTGTACAAAATTTTCAAAAATATTTTTTCAGTGACAAAATGTTAATGTTTGATTAAAATTTTTATTTTGCAGTGTGGAAACATGTAAATCCATGTTATTTTTAATAAAACATTTGTCACTTAATGCAGAAAATTTGGGTTTCACTTCAATTTTTTTGTGTCCGTATAAATTTGAAACACACCTTACTTGGGTCTGATTCTACATCACAAGCTCAGCTGGATACCTCACGTACGGTACATCTGTGATAGGACAAACCTACTTTTTAATACCATGTCAAGAGTAGGAAAATGTAAATGGGGGCTATGCTCAAAAATATGATTTGGTATTAATATAAATACCAAATCATATTTTATGCTCATTATTTTTGAGCATAAAAACGCAGAGAACTTATTCATATCTGTAGGGCTAACTCTACAGCCCCACCTCTGCATTACAACTTCTGGTTGGAAAAATGCCCATCCAGCTTACCATCAGCTTAATCACACAAAGGTGGCTCATCCTAGACGATCAAATCAACTCGATCAATCGAATACCTCATGATAACATTGAATGCACTAAAATGGGTGTCTCCAGCATTAACCCAGCTTACTGGCCTGACATCACTGATCAACCCTGGCCCATACAACATCTAATTGTGGGCCTGGACGAACCCATAATGGGCCTGCAAAAAAGAGGCTCTCTTAGTCTGAGCTCAGAAATTGTGAGCTGACAGCCGCCTTGCACCAATTGATCCACTTTCTCCATCAAATCGTCGGTCATCACACACTGTTCTTGACTGCCTTCATCATAAACATTGTCATGTCTTTGTTTGAATTCATGAAACACCATTCATGCACACATTCATAGCTCATGAAGTTCTCACCATACACATTACACATTCTTTGATGAATTTCACCTTCATTTGGTTTTTCAGCCTGTAGAAATCGAATTACTGCTTGTATTTCACAATTGGTTGGAGACTGGGTTGACAGCACCATGTTTACTTGTTTATTGCGCAGTAGCAAATGTCTAAAATAGCTTGGCATGATGCTAAGTGGTGAGGAAATATACTACTCAATAGGAATGCACTCTGTTCCTGTCTCACATGCTTCCAATTTTTTTTCAGGTGTTAGTGGAGGTTGAAAAAAAATAACCCTTATTATTATTATTATTTTCAACTCATCTTGATTATATATACAGTGGAACCTCGGTATACGACCTTAATCCGTTCCCGATGTTTGGACTTATACCGAATTGGACGTATACCAAACCACCCTTTCCCATAAGAAGTAATGTAAAAATGATTAATCCATTCTCGTGTAAAAAAAATGGCTGGCTTTAAACACCTCGCTTTCCTGGCTAGTTCCTGCTTGATTTTTCGTGAGATCAGCGTGTATCTTTTTAGCTTTCTCGCAAATAATTGCTTCCGATACGCTGTCTCCAGCACTGTTTTTCAGTTATCCAAAGCAAAAGCAATTTCTCGACATGATCTAATGTCTTCGATCTCTGTTTAGAAATTGATTTAACCCCTTTCGCAACGTTAGCAGATTTAATAATGTCTTTATTTTTCGCGATTGTCCATATCGTCGTTCTCGGAATACGGTAAACAACAGTTAAAATCTCGAACACGCGTGCCACCTTCGTATTTCTCAACAATCTCTTTCATCAGTTCCATTGTAATTCTAGTCATTTTTTTAGTTTTCTGTCGCTTTTCATTTGCCTTTTTGCGATTCGTGATTAATAAAAATAATAAAATTTTACTTACGAATTAAAATCAGAAGAAATTAAACAAAGTTATAAACCGTTGCACCGCGAACGTCTAGTCTGGTCTAGTACACCGATAGTGCTACTTGTTCATTGATGGCGCATATAATTGAATTATGTCGTATACCGAACAAAAGTCGTATACCGAGCAAAATTTGTTTCGTCCAAACAGGACGTATTTCGAATTGGACGTATTCTAAAGTAGACGTATACCGAGGTTCCACTGTATTTGGCTCACTTTTGATTCCAAATACCTACAATTTATATATTAATGTATGTACTATTAAATGATGATTTCTAATTTTTTTAGTTTTTTGTTTTAATTTTTAACATTATATTATTTTAAATTTATATATTTGATTTTTGACTTTGCATTTCTATTTATATTTTGATATGCCAAAGATGAATCAAGTTGAGTTGAAAATGTTACATTGTTAATAAATTGTTATTTGAATTCATTAACTTAGCAGTGTTTATGATTATTTATAAGAAAAAATAATTGGAGAAAAGAAACATTTGCCATTGATAGAGAGAAAATCAACATTATGACAGTGGAAATGTTTTTTGGCTTGTGTAATGGCTGTATTTGAGTTCTTAGATAAAAAGTTCTAAATGAATCTAATTAAGAATTTTATCTTATAACTGATGTAAAGATGACAGTTTAAATGAATCTAAAATGTTTATTTGGAATATAATTCTTTTATTTTTAAGTCATTGACTTTACTTTTATAAGAAAAAAAATAGTAATAAAACATCATAAAACTTAGATTTTTGTTGTTTAAATTGATATATGAAAAAAGTAAATAAAAATTGCAATGATATTCATATACAGCCTCCCGGGGAGCATCTGTCAGTGCTGTGTCACCGATACTAAATTATTTTTTCTTTTTAGGCTAGGTGTAATTTGCTGAATTTCTTAAATAATTACTTGAGAGAACTGTGTAATTTTTGTGTTGAGGAAGAAACTGTGGATGCTTGACATATTTTGGCTAAATGTGGGCATTTTAAAGTATTATGAGAAGAAATTTTTTGCTGCATTATACTTTCCAGTGGGCGTGTTTCCTCTGCTATAAATTTGGTTTCATTGCTGGTGTTGTTTGAGAGCATCTGTCAATGATGTGTCACTGATACTAAATTATCTTTTCTTTTTAGGTAAGCAATTTGCTTATTATTGTTTTATTTATTGGTATTTTCATATTTTGTTGACAGATGCTCCCAAGTGTTAAAGTTTAAATATTACATTTTACACTACTATGCATATGTAGCTAGAACTATTTCCAAGACTAACGGCACAAAACCTTTCTCACTAATTTCTAGCCTTATTAACTGGAGTACAAACGTTTTCGGCCTTCTTAATAGGCCTTCCTCGGGTACACTGTGGAGCATCGGTTAGAAGAAGTTTTTTTGGAAGAAGGTATTTTTCCTAGAATCAAGGATTGCATCCAGTATGCATAATAAATAAATAAAATGTTTTAATCGAACATGAACGTTCGATAGAAGAACACATAAATTTAAAATTAAATAATTTTCCATACGATTCCGCAATGGTTTGAATTACGTGCGATGTTACGAATATGATGTAATACGGCACATGCGTGGTACTGCTTCCTGTCAGTGACGTGACATATGAATTAACTCGCCGTTTAATCGCTTGTATAGGGCGATCCATATATTTGGCAGCTCCAGAGTAGGTGTGTTGCACGTTTCAAATGTTGTTATATATAGTGATTAAATGGCGAGTTACATCATATGTCACGTCACTGACAGGAAGCAGTACCACGCATGCGCCGTATTACATCATATTTGCAACATCGCACATAATTCAAACCGTTGCAGAATCGTATGGAAAATTATTTAAATAAATAAAAATTAATAAATAAATATATATTTCTTACCAATGAAAAAATGACATAATTTTTTTGCTAATTAAATTATATGCAAACAGATTTTATCAGAACTATTATATATATATAACTTTTTTATATTTCAGGAACATGTGTTTTGGGTCGTGTCTTTAAATACACTTTTAATTTTGGTATTTGGTAAGTTGATACATTCTATGTACTATTAGAAAAATTAATTAATATATATATAAATAAAATACAGTGGGTGATCGGTTAACGAACAGTTAAGTTAATGAACAAATCGGATAATTAATACTTTCGCGAAAGATTTTTATGTTCGGACAAAGAACACCTCACAGAACAAACACAAGAAGAAGTGACGTAAAATAATGAATACCGATTGGTCTTCCCTTGTCTTCAGGCAACAATTAGAAACATTTTGGAGTGCAAGAGATGTTGACATTGACCCTCAACCCAGTATATACTGATCAGACGTTATTGCTCTGAACTTTGAAACTTTCCCTTGTATTCCAGCCTTTTATTTTTCTGACAGAAACAACTCTTTCATAGTATTCGCAAGACTGTCAGGCAGGCATTTGTTAAGTTTTGCATCAGCTTTTATTTTCGAAACATGAGAGTATAATAGCAAATGTAGAGTAGGCAGAAGATGTCTGATGTTGCTGGGCAGTATGGCTCGAACAGGTCTACAGTAGACCACAGTTCAATCTTATCTAAGAAAGATACTGTATAATCAAGAAGACTCAAGCAGCTAAAGGAGTAACAAAAATCACATCTGAGAAGTAAAGAACATCGAAGAGTTAAAAATGGAACCTGAAACTAATCTGACGACTCTTGATTTCTTGGTGAAATCATGAATGAAGAACACCAAGAAACTTGGCGAGATATGTTTTTTTTTTTTTAAAAAGAGAATTAATGCTGATATCTGCTATTAAACATTTTTTGAAGAGGTGGGAGGATGTCAGAACAATGGTCTTAGAATGGCATCCAAACCAGGTTGAGATTAATAGGCTTAGGGATCTCTACAATTACAATGCTATTAATTACTTCTGAAAAATCCTGAAGAAGAGAGAAAAGCAATTGACATTAGACAGATTCTTTAATCCCCCAAACGGAAAAAACATGACTAATAAAAATGCAAGACTTTGTATATATGTATTTTTATTATTATATATAAATAAACGTAGTAAAAAAGTATATATTTTTTTAATTTTTGGGGTCTCCAGAATGAATTAATCAAATTCCCATAAAAACATATGGTAAATTGATAATCGGTTAATAAACAATTCGGATAGCGAACAAAGTCTTGGAACAGATTATGTTCATTAACCGATCACCCACTGTATATTATTGTTAAACTAATAATTTAAAATTTTTTTCTTATTATCATGTGTTTTAGTAACTAATTCTGTTCATAAAGAAAACAGAGTTTTCATCTTCATTAAATTAAGAAATGTTTTGTCTTTTGTATACAGTTGAATTAATTTGAATTTTTGAAATTTGAAACTATTGCTTCTTTCTAATGTAACAGTTTTCAATATGTTCAATGTAAAATGTTTAAAAAATTGAATTGAATGTACAAACTTGTTATTTAATGATATCTTTATTATTATCATGCAAATATTGCAAAATTTTGAGTTTAATATTTTTTATTTGGTGGTTGTATTTTTTTACAATTCCTACATTTAATTAAATATAAATATGATTGAACTAATTTTGAAACTGAAGGGAATGACAGAAATAAGAATTTGTATCTTAAAATATACTCCAGCAACAAGTTTTAAAGAAACAGAAACATTTTCGACTTAATTAGATTGATCATCATCAGTTGAACATTTTTTGAGGATTAGTTTAAAAACTGCTTTTGTCCTAAAGCTGAAAGGTATGCAAGTCATTGATTTTAAAATCTTGTTGGTATTAGATAATGCACCCAGTTATTTAACAGCACTGAATGATTTGTGTGAAAATGTAAAAGTTATTTATTTACCATCTAATACCACTTCATTATTTAACCAATGAATCAAGGTGTAATTGCATCATTTAAGGCATATTACTTACAAAGAACTTTTTCACAAGCAATAGAAAAGACCTACAGGAGATGAAGCTATGACTTTTGACATAATTCTGGAAGGCATTCAATATCAAAAATTGCATTGAGAATATTAAGGAAGCATGGAGTGAATAATGTCTAGCAACCTGAGAGTGACATGGCAACAGATTATTTTTCATTGTGCAAATGATGTTAAAGGATTTGAAAATAAAATAATCTATGTTATCAATGACACAACACAACCATCTTAGTTGCTTTGGCTTGTGCTTTAACACTAAGAATACTGAATATCTAGAAATTTTTTCAAATGTGGGCACGATTCTGGTCAATGATGATAACTTGTATAAAATGCACACTTTTCACTACCTCGGTTCAACCCTACATAGTGACAGAGACATTGATGAGGTACGAACAAGGGTGAATGTGACATGGCTACGATGGAGAGAAGTCACAGGTGTTCTCTGTGACAAAAAGATGCCCATGTAACTAAAATCGAAAATCTACTGGACCATGGTATGACCCATCACTCTCTATGGCTCTGAATGTTGGCCATTAATGAAAGCAGTTGAATGGTGTCTCCATTCCATGGAGATGCACATGGCTCACAGGATGCTTGGTGTATCCCTTCTTGACCATATCACCAATGACAAGATACGCCAACAATTTGGCATCATGCCCATTGAGACAAAAATGAGAGAGAGATGCCTGCACTGGTTTGGCCATGTTCAATGATCAGCCCGGATACAGTTGCCAACATTGCCTACCACCTACAGGTGAATGGCCACTGGCCTTGCAGAAGACCGAAGCAGTGATGGCAAGATGCTATCAATGCAGACCTAAGGGCTCTGCACCTGAACACAGACGATGCACTCAATCAAACAAAGTGGTATTTGAAGATCTGAATAGCAGACTCTATATCTTTGGAACAATGCTAAGAAGATCAATGACATAACTAAGCTTGGGACTAAAAGCAATTGAAAAAGGTGATGTTCAGGACATACTTCAGTCACATGATATGGAGCTGGATAATGAAGACCTAATTAATCTTGAGAGAGTGTAAAGTACTATATTATTTTTCCGACTTTCCAACGATTATCGACACTACTGTGTGCCAGAAATAGCCGTTCCCTAACGGGTACTTTACGCGGATTCGCGTTAGTGTGCCAGGCCTGGACTTTAAGCGTGCACCGAATTAAATAATGACAAAGTTTGTCAATAACAAAATCAAATATTTAATTAAACTTCTATTAATAAACTCTATACAGTATTTAGTAAAAATCAAACAATAATTTATTCAATGAAATTCAACAAGAATCAATCCGACAAACTCAAATCAATCTATTTCTAACTTAATTCTATTCCCCTTTGGAATTCGACAAAATCAAAGAATTAACTTATAAACAATAATTCTTATAAATTAAAGATCCTAATCGTCACCTCAATATACTAGGAACCTATTTCCTCAAACTCTCAAGACTTTCTATAATCGTCGATCCACAAATCGAATAACTTCAAAATCCTATCGGACACCTCTCTCGTTCACTGCTACGAAGCTCACCAAAGCTCGTTGCTATCAGGAATTCACCTCGTTCGTTTTCACTTGAGTTAGAGGCTTTATAGTGTGAGGTGACGTCACAATTCTGAATGAGCTCACTCTCCTCATTTACATACTTATCTGTAACATTAAATTTTTCTTGTTTATCTGGCAGATTATTTTCCGACAATACTTCGCTAACCTTTTACATTATTCTTTTTAACAATTATCGGGATGCTTTATTCTTTTAAGGTTTAGCGATTCCTAACTGGGTTGTGGGGTCTTCCCCCCCTTTTTCTCGGTGCGGACTTACTTTTTTCCGCTTGGGAAGCGCAAGTGTGCGCGAGTTTTCTACGGCGCTTTTCTTTCGTTGGTGAGTTGGTTTTTCTTCTATTTTTAAGTTACTAAGGTGAATGGTGAGGAAACTTCGTCCTAACAAAACATAAGCCCCAAATAAAAATAGAATAATAAGCAAAATAAAAGTAAATAAAAATAACGTTCGGACTTGGTTTCTTACACCAGAACATGTTAACAAAGCTCAAATTGATGATAATGACATGGCACCAAAGGAATTTACCCTGAAAGAAATGGATGAAATGTTTAGAATTGCTGAAATTTTTAAAGAAAAAATTTTGAAGAGTGATTTTAATCTTGAGTAATCAATGAAAGTTTATCAAGAAATTGAAAACTCCATCTGTTGCTACTGAGTTTTACACAAAGAAAAAAGAAAGAAAAAATTTCACCCGAGAACTCTACACCAATTTTTATCCAAGAAAGAATAATTCTATGATACTTCTTTTATGTAAAGAAAGATTAAGGAATAATCTTGTTTTCTGAATGAACCTTCATTTTTACTTAACATTTTTAACACACTTCTTTTTTACCTCATGTATAAAATTTAATTAATAGATTTAAAAAATCCTTGGCAGTGATCACCCATTTTATGAGCATTATTTATTCCAATTATAGTGGATTCGATTATTGTGGTACTTTTAGCGGTAACAACAAATGTAATAATTATGATGGTAGAGTTTTCCATGTGGTCTTAAGATTGCCCTTGAAGAATATTGACCAATTGACTGATCAAAAAAATATAAAACTTTTACTCACAATATCTATTTTCTTTTATTCTGCATATTAGGTTTTACAGTTTTATTCTGAAAATTCCTAATTCCACAATGATTACAAGATTTTTAATGAAGCAACCCTTTCTTTTCTCTTTTAACAGTTCTAGTCAAAGAAGCCAAAAATCTCAAATCCTTTTTATCGTCACCGGGCTTTACTTTTCGTATATACAGTATATACAGACTCAAACTTACATTTTCTGGACTATTTTATCTCTCCTTTTCATTCTATTTAATCAGTTTTAGCATGCAGGGGTTACTAACATGCCTAAGTTGCCAACAGTAGGGTAAAGAAAGATAAAGAAAAACAAAAACACAAAGGAGACAGAAAGCAAATACACTTAGAAATACATAAGAATGTTAAAGAGGATTTAAAAATATGGTTTAAACCCACTTTGTTAATCAGTTTGTATAATATTTGACATTTTGTTGGTGACTTAACATATGTGAAAAAGAAGAAAGATAATTTTCAAAATTCAAAGTTACAGTGGTAATTTCTGGCAGTATATCTCCAAGAAATTTGTGTAGGATTAAGGTCATAATATACATCCACCACTGTTGTAAATGATCAGGCTGAAATTTGGATATAATGATGATGAATTAGAAATGAATTTGGTGCTAGACTGAGGCATTAGGTACCATCTTGTATTAAAATTAATAACTATAATATTTAATTAAATAAGTTAGATTAAACTGGAAGAAAAGAATTAGCTCGAAGTGGAACTTGAACTTGCAACTTTTGCTTACCATGTGAATGCGTTACCAGTTACACTACCCGGACATTTGGCTGATGTGTGTATTTGTGTAAGGTCATAAACAAATCCTTTGTAATATCACAAGCATCAGTTACTTATCTTCATGTGATATTGAAATACATTGAAATTCATTTTTTAAAAAATGATATAATAATATAATAATCAGTTATTTCTGGATGTTATTTTTTGTTAAATTATTTTAATTATAGGTTAATATGCTATTCACGCCAAGTAATATTAATTAATAGTTAAAACTCACTATGTTCAGCGTTATTAATCATTTTTTCGTTCATTCAAGCACTTTCGATGAATGTATTTCCGTCGTCTTCAGGCGAATAAAATGCAACTATTAATTATTTTAATTAATTTAATTTAATTTTAATTAAATTGTAAAATAAATAAATTTACATTTTAGATCAAACTGAAATTGCTTGAAATTTAAAGCTTTAATATCAATTCTAGTTAGCTTTATGGTTAATTAAAAGTGTTAGTGTTTCTGAGCAAGCAATGATTGGTTGGAAGGATGTGCGTGAAAATGCTAGAATGTTGATATTAATTATTTTAAAGTTTAAGAAAGCAGTTTCATTTTAGTCTAATTATATTATATTTGTGGAGAACTAATATATTTTTATATAATTGAACTTGTTTTATTTATTTATTTATTTAAGAGTTAAAAAATTTAATTTACAGCATTCTGTCCTTATCACATTGGGCATTTTACAATTGTTGGCATGAAATTAAAGGATTTTGTAAGTAAATTTCTACATAATTAAAAAAATTTTTAATACTAGTCTTATAGTTTGAGTTTTGTAATATTAAATGTTTATTATTAAATTAAATTTTCTAGAAATATATAAAATTATTTATTGACTTATCTAAAATTCTGTCCTAATTGATTGCAATTAATTTTATTAAATTTTTATAAACAGTAAATATAGTCTGTTCTGAATTTTTGAATTTGTGTTTTAAGCTGTGTGTTACTGTACCTAAAACTTGAGTATAGGCTATGGTCCATACAAGGTTATATTTGTAAAATTTATTGTACAGTATGCAGCTAGTACACAAAGATGACTGACTAATAGATGAAAAATCTGATTACTAGTAAATACAGTAACTATAGTATGAAAGAAAAACAGTATAAAATTTAATAGCTTCTCATAAAAACTGGAATTTTTATTTTCACAAAATCTGTCATGATAAGTTAAGGATATGATAATTAAATTTTGTACATAACACAGTGAGGTTTACCGAATTAATGTTATTGGGCAGTAAGTTGAAAAAATTGTAGACCTATAAATTTCCACTGAGAATAGAGTTAGATAGATGAAAAATGAGACCAGATATGGAAACCTTAGGAGCAGGAGGCCCCAATTAACAAACTTCAGATGTAAACCAGAAGTCACATTATTTCAATTCAAAACTTTCCTCTGGAAGCAGTTAGTAGATGACCAGCACAACTCCATTGCTGACAGAAAAGTATGATGCACAGGGACAAGACACTACAGTACTAATTTGAAATGGAGAGCATGTATTTTAAATTAAATAGATTAAAAATATGATTAAAAATTGTAGCCTGGCATTGTGACAATGTCACAAGAAATAATTGCTCATTATAGAAATAAAATGTTTCTAAAAAGTTTATTCCTGATACTGTTTTTTCCTATGGGTGTTTACTAAATTTAGACTAAAGTGTAAAAATTAATAGACGTGTTATCAGTAACATTAGGTATGCTGAAGACATTGCTCTGTTATATAGGAAAATTCAATGCAAAGCGACACACAACGGAGAAAAATTTCAACATGGGATAGGTTAATATATTTTTTCATACATAATCGGTTATCCAAAATATTGATTTTCCAAACAACCCAAGTCTCCAATTGATTTGGATAATTGACGTTCTACTGTATAACATTATTACATATAAATTTTTCTTGTTTTAAATAAACTTTCCAACCTTCCTTTTACTTCTAAAGCTATTATAGCTAGGTCCAACTAGGGAATTCCCAGTTTTACTGAATGTATCAAATACTTTGGTCATTTACTTTTATATACATGTTTTCATGATTTACAGTCTACCCCCCATAAGACGGTAGATACGTTTTGTCCTTTATGAATCGATTTCTTACGAGTCCTTGCCAATCACAGCCCGACACGTATGCACTTTACGGACTCCGGCTGTTTGAAAAGTTTTCTTCTATAAAATTAATCGATTCTAGATTAATCTGACTCAACATTTCCAAAATACGTATATATTTTTTTGGAAATAATCCGTATAAACTACGCTATAAACAAAAAATTGTAGGATTACTTACCGAGTGTGCACCGTTCGACATCGCTGTTGCTCAAGCTTGTTTTCGTCGCAGAACAGCTCAGCAGTCAGTCAGTCAGTCAGTCAATGTATTTTATTGGTACTAAAGTACATGCCCTGGCCCCGCAAGAAGCATTACCAGGGCTTGAAAACAATAGGTATGATTACAATGAACAATAACTACAATTGAAGAGTTTGTACAAAAGATTCTAAGAGTGAGCAAGAAAATATAGGGTAAACCTACATAAAACGTCCGAAAAGGACGCCACACACAGTTCGCGTGTAGTGTACAAAATATAAAAAATGCATATTTAAACGTCCGAAAGGGACGCCACACATAGTTCGCGTGTAGAAGTACTGCAGGAAGAGGCACCATGGTGCCGGAGAGACGATTAGCTGTGGATGGTGTTATAGTTTACACTGTAGATCCTTTTGGCAAAGTTTTTGAAGGCTTTGTAGATTTCTTTGTTTAACCAGATGTCGGGATGCTTACACGGCCAGGGTATGTTGAAGTGGTCTAGTAGAAGACTAAACTCGAATCTTTCTCTTTCAAAAATTATGCAGTTGTACAGGTAGTGTTCTGGACCATCCCTGACGTTGCACACGGGGCATACATCAGTGTTGCCATTTGCAAACCTCGCAAGGTAATTAGCAAATTTCCCATGTCCGGTTAAAATTTGATTGACATAGAAGTCAGGGGTGTACCACCTTATAGCAAGGTACTGCTGTAAGTCAGGGATAAAGTTATGGGTGACATGCTGCATGATTTGATCCCAGTCGGATTGCCAGTGTTGTACAGTGTCAGACCAAAGCATGCTGCGAAGGGTTCGTTGGCTTATTTTCCTGTAGGCTATCTGGTTCTTATCCATTGTAGTGGCAGTTTTGGCAAGAGAGTCGGCCCTCTCATTGCCAACCACCCCCTGATGGGCTCTGACCCATGTAATTTGGATTTTGCACGAAGACATCCGCAGCGCATTCCTGATGTATTCAGCCAGCGGGTGTAATTTTGGGCTATTAATGAGCCTGTAGGCCGAAAGGGAATCGGTATGGATGGTGGCAGTGATATTATCGTAGTTCCTATTAATGTGCTCGACGGCTTTCCAAATGGCAAAGAGTTCTGCCTGGAACACCGTGCATTTATCATCAAGGCGGTAAGTCTGGTATGAGAGTTCAGTAGTGTTCTCATATATTACAAGACCACAGCCAACTGAGTTATTTATTCTTGATCCGTCAGTATAGATGTTAATACTGGTGTCGTCATTGTCCATCTTAGTGTTGGTTATCTGTCCGATTGGAAAAAGAGTTTCATTGAATGGGAAGGTCCATTCTATGTCCTCATGGTGAATAGTGTCGTTAGAGATGTTAATGGTGCTGCCCCATTTAATTTGCTGATACTTTTCTTTTTGAGCGATTTCCAAGTCTATCGGTGGTCTTCTAGCGAGCACCTGGAGACACCAATTGCTTACAGTACGAAAAGATTTAGTAATTAGTAACAGTACCCATCTCTGTGAAGAAATCAGTTTTCTCTTCGTATGCACTTTCTTAGTGGACCAACCCCAGGTGCCGCAGGCGTAGGTTATGAATGGCAGGTAGATACTGTCATATACGATGGCCATGGCATTACTAGTCATCCTCCAATCCCTTTTTGCCACTTGGGCAAAGGAGTTCATGATGATGCCTGTACGGGAGGACACATATTCGACGTGTCTGTCCCAAGACAGCCTGAAGTCTAAGTAAACACCTAAATACTTGAGCGATTTTTCAATCTTAATAGTGCGTTCATTCATTTTCAGGTGCGGCGGCCTCAGATACAAGTTCTGTTTGCCCGACTTGTTGAACACAATACCTTTAGTTTTCCCCGGATTGAAGCACAATTTGTGTTCAATCCCCCAGTTATAGACACGGTTTAATACGGTATTTCCTCTGGCTTCCAGGTCAGCTCTGGACCTGCCCCCCAGAAGCAACATCACGTCATCAGCATAAGCGAAGCAGAAATCCTGCCCGAAGTTGTTTTTCAGAAATGCGTCGAAAGTAATATTCCATAACAATGGCTCACACACCGACCCCTGTGGGCATCCTCTGTGAACATTCTTGATGACAGAATGCTGTTCGTATTCTAAGATGGCTTTCCTGTTTCTGAAATAATCATGTAATAGTTGGAGAATATTCTTTGGGCAGTTGATGTTGCACAGCTGGTAGGTAACCAGGGGCCACCAGGCACTATCGAAAGCCTTCAAGATGTCCAGGCTGACCCCAAGCACATATTTGTGTTCTTCTAAAAGCTGCTGGATATGATTTACCACCTGGTGGATGGCATCTTCAGCAGATTTCTGCATCCGGAAGCCAAACTGTGTGTCACTAATGCACTTTTCTTTTTCAATATACCAGGTCAGCCTGTTTGCTATTAGCTTTTCGAGGACTTTACCCATGATGGATAATAAGGAAATTGGCCTGACCTCAGTTGCTGAACCTGATTTGGGCACTGGGATTACCCTGGCGATTTTCCAGTCGTCCGGGAAAATGGAATGAAGGAGGCATGCGTTGTACATATTAAACAGATGTTGTGGTATAATATTCCACAAATTGAGAAGAACTTCCGCAGTGATCTCATCAGGGCCAGGGGCTTTGCCCCTACCCATAGTGTTGATTGTGTAGCGAATTTCTTCCATAGTAAATGGGGTGATATTATCAGTGTTTTCTAACTTATAGGTGTCTTTCCGTAGCTGCTTTTGCCAATCAGTATCTTCGTTTTGGTTGTCGTTTAAGCAAAAATTATCCAGTTTAGCTTGTAGGGTATCTAATAGTGACTCTGGTTCATTCTGTTCATTGGGTGAGGTTAAAATCTGTGTTTTACGTAGCTTATTTGTACACCTACGTGTAACGTAGCCCCAAGGATTCCCAGATAGTTTGGAGCAAAAATCTCTCCAACTCTTGGTTTTTTCTTCTTTAATCGTCTGCTTATAAATACGTTGACTTTGCAGGTAGGCGTTCTTATGTGTAAGCCTTGTGTCCTCATCCCTACATTGCTGATACCTTTTCCTAAGTCTTCTGCATGTGTGCCGGAGGTTAGTCAACTCAGTTGTCCACCATGGGACACTTTTATTCTTGTACCTTTTAATTGGTATGTAAGTGTTACAGGCCACATTTATAGTGCTTATATTGCCGTTAATCTGAGACCTAGCCTCATAATTATTCCCATATCTTGGGAATAATTATGAGTGAGGTGATCTTTTAAGAAGTATTCCATTCCTTCCCAGTCAGCCCTAGAGACTGCAAATCTGGGTCTTTTACCAAAACGTGTAGTGATGTCTTGACCTGTACCCACTAAGTCATAGGCAATATAGGAATGCTCACTAATACTGTCCTCATCCAAGATCCTCCAATTGATGATGCATGGTAGGAAACCCTCACTGCAGCAGGTGACGTCAATCCAACTCTTACCTCTGCTAGAGGTAAAGGTTGGTGGCAAAAAAGGATCGTTGACGATGTGGAGGTTATTGGAGGCAAAGAACTCCTCCAGAAGACCACCTCTAGGGTCGAGGCGCTCCCCACCCCAAGCAGGGGAGTGAGCATTAAGATCACCTGCGATTATTATATTTAAACCATTAAAAGCATTCACAATGTTTTGTAGCTTACCTATGAACCTTTCGGTATCGGCTTTACCTGGGAAGTAAGCGTTAACGAGAATGACCCTGTCATTATTTATAATGACAGGGTCATTCTCGTTAACGCTTACTTCAGTTCAGCAGTAATAATGTATTCGCTACAATACTTGTCGTGCTTCATGATAGACAGGCATTTGTTGGAGACAATCGTAATCGCCCATGGATAGTCCACAGTACCTTTAATAATAGGGCACCTGGTTGGAAGGCAAGATGGGGAGTTATTAAGGCAATAAGGCTCCTGCACAAGAATTATATCATAGTTCATAGTTTGATTGCTTAGTAGGGAGGTAGCAGCGATGCTCCTTCCCACATTGACTTGCAGAATACTGATCTTGTTATGGTTAATCTGATCCATAATCAGTTCTTGCTATGATATTATTTTTAATTCTGGTATACATCGGGCAGGAGGGGTCTCGGGCATTATGTTTGTGGTTACTATTCTTCTCACGTTTACAGTTATGACATACAGGGTCCCTATCCCTGTTCGGGCATTCTTTATACAGATGGTGTTCTGAACAATGGCTGCAGGTTGGTTCTTGTTTGGGACAATCTTTGGCCGCATGATTATATTCTGTGCACTTGAAGCACTGCAGAATCGGACAAAAGTCCGCGATCCTGCAGCGGGACCACTCAATATTGATCTTAGCTTGATGTATAAGGGTTTTCCGTATGCCTGGAGACACCTCCACAACCCAATTTTGGTAGGCAAGTCCACGTTTACCAATGACAAATTTGACCCGAAATTGCTGTCTGAATTCTTCCTCATTCATTAGCTCACCGATGTTTTCATTTTGCTGGAAGACCAGTGAACCTAGATCTTCCTTTGTAATGTCCGAGTTGACAGAGTATATGGTGATATGGGGCCATCTTTTCTTTGGTCGCTTGGTAATCAGCTTGGGTACGGCCTCGGCAATATACTTTTCCATGAGTGCTGCATCGCCATTGTTACTCAGTTCTATGGCTATTCCCCCCCCTGCGACCTTTCTAAGTCTATCAATGCCAACCCGCATTGTCGATGGTCTTAATTTTTTCTGTATGGTTTTGCGCACAGTGTCACTGGTCATGCTCTCCCTTTCCCTACCGTAAACCAGTATTACTTCGTTCGTGTTGTTTTGTTTCGCCGATTTCCTGTGGTAATCTGCAGATCTGTCAGATTTGACAATGTCACTGTATGAAGGAACATTGACATTGGCCCTTGGTCTGCTCTCAATCTTCTGCAGTTTGTCTATAATTTCTTTTTGTGCATTTATTATGCTTTCATTGGTGGAAACTTCTGTCAGGTCTTCCTTGGTGATCATCCTCGAAAGTTTATTGTCTATTGATTTAGCATAATCATTAGCAGCAAGACTGGCTTCTGCTAAGGCGATAACCCTAGCGAATTGATCCAATATATATTGGGTATGATTGCCAGTCCCAAAACGTCCTTTGGGATTGTCCGATGTATATTGCACCACTTCCTCATAGATAGCATTCGCATTCTTGAGAAAGGTATCCATAATTATGGTAACAGTAGCACACCCTAAGAGGTCTACAGCGTTACCAGGAATGAAGGACTAATGCTTCACTAAGTCCAACAGACTCAGTTCGGCTTTGATGATGAACGAACTGTTGTTAATAACGGCCTTGTAGACTAGCCTGTTTGTTAGGCGTTGCAGGTCGATGACCTTACCAATGAAGGACTTGATGATGAAGTTGAAGAGACTGCTGTAGTTTGAAGTTCACTGAACATACAATCACAGGACGATACGGTGACAAGCAGGAGATGGTACAGTCTGATAGAACTAAGCGCCGGGTAACAGTTTGCAACACAGAAGCACGACCGCCGATCGGCGCGAGGTAAGCCAATCGGCGTAGAGCCGGTAAGAAAAGAAATATTAACAACAACAAACGCGGACAAAGCGCGTAACACGGAGGAGCTTAGGATATACCGAATACCCTAACGGCCGAGACAAATGACCAATACAAGTTCCGTCACAACCAAAACGCCGAACGGCGTTAGCGAGGCCAAGCGGCGGAACCCAGCCAATTCCGGAGAAATGATAAAAATACACAAGTAACCAACAGCAGGTGTAACGCGAAATAATGACAAATAATATACCGACACGAAGCAATGCAACCGCACAGAGAGAAACCCGATAGCCGAGATACGCCGACACGGCTAGACCACGCCGAGCGGCTTCCAGACCACGTGGCACGTAGACATTTCTTGTCTAACGGTACAATTTAAAACGCGAATTATATAAAAACTAATAGACATACGAAAGCGAAACTTACAGTGCCGAAGGATGGTCGGACGGACTGTCAAACCCCGTTGAGAATGCGGGCCGATCGCGAGCTGGGGACCCGATGCGGGCCGACAAACGTCCAAAAGTTTGAACAGCGATAAAAATAAATCTAAACACCCGATTTAAGTAAACAAGACACCTATCGTTACCGGATGGTTAACTCTATCCATTGGTATGAAGTATTCCAAAATCGGATGAAAACTCGATGAGATATTGTCGACGGAAGCGGAGCCGAGATACACCACGTTAGCATGTGGCAAAGGCGGTCAACTCCCCTGAATGATACACAAAAATCAAATGGTAGAACTTTGTTCCGCCATTTGATTTTTGTATATCATTCAATTTCACTTATAACCTGAAGATCATTAAAAATGGCCAAAAACTATAGTGATTAAAAAGTTTTTGTGATGCTTATAAAGGTTATCCATTGAGTTTAGAATCTTGTAAATTTAATATTTTTTCTCTAGTTAAAATTTAAAAATAGTAGATTGAATTTTATCTTGTTAGGTAAAAAAGAATATTTATAAAATACAGTTAGGGTTATTAATAATGATAACTGTATTTTCACGTGTATGCCTACTTTTGATAATTTACAAATTCTTGTCAGCAAGGGTTTGGAATCTAGAAACAGAAAGGAAACAAAACGATAGTGTGTGGATTTTAACTAGTAATAAAATATTAAATTCATAACTGTTGTGAAATAAAAGAAATCAAAGTATTTTATTCAATTAAATTTAAAAACTATATATAATATATATATATACATATATCTAAAAAATAAATGAAAAAAAGAAAATGGAACCAAGTCAGGAACTACAGGTGTTACCAATCACACCATGCTGCAGTTGATCTTAAGTAGTAGTTTCCCTAAAAAGCTTAATTATGTATATATTTCTTTTCAAGTTTTCTCCTTGTGTGTTGCCTATTCACACAAACAGCTTTACTTCCTTATAAAGGACACTGAGATCTACCCGACTAATTATTGATTTTAATGAAAAGTGTACAAAGCAACTTATGGCCTTCCTTTGTTAATCTAATTTTTACAGGCTAAAAAGCAAAACACTTTTTTATAAAATTAATTTATTTAAGCATATTCTGATGTAATGTATATCAATACAAGTTTCTTGTATCTTTTCTTCTGTTTAGTGAAATAAAATTGTCCAATTTTTTATTTTTTTGCATTTCAAAGATTCCTATTCATTTACAATTTCTCTTGCCACACAGACATGTATTCCTAAGACCAAACAAATGGGTTATTTACAATTACTCCTCAGAGTATTTACACATAGTAAATGTAAACAGTAGTGATAATTGCAGAGATATATATATGTGATTAGCATTAGAAAGATAAAGAAACTATTACAAAAGAAATAACCAGTTGTGCTTTCCTAAGTTGTAAAAAATTGTAAATAGTGGAAAATCAATACCAACATTTACAATTACTCCAATCAATCCTCTATGCCAAATGAATTGATCTTAACTATTAATAATAATTATTATAATATATATTTTCAAGGTATTAAAACAATTCTAAAATGTTTTTTATTCTTGTGATGTCAGAGTCAAAAATCCGGAAATTCCATCAGAAATTTTGCAGTTTGGTAACAATAGCTGAATACTGTTAACAATACTAACTGAAATCTAAATGATATCAGTTATAGGCAAGTCCAAAAATGATTACATTAAGTGGATTCTACTGTATTTCTGTCTAGTTGCTCTGAGAGCAGGACAACTATATCAGTTATAACATTTGAGTTTCTGTCATATGCTCTGAGACACCAATCTCACCATCATCTTATTGGATCATGATTTTTGAAATTAATTTAAAAAAAAATCTAATAAAATGAAAAATGTAGAAAATTTTTATATTTTCTTTTCATTTTATATAATCTTTTTTTTTTTTTTTCATATATCTGAGAAGAGTTACAAATTAAAGAAATAATGTAAATTTAGAATTTGAATACAAAGTGAAAACATTTAAATTCTTAAATTTTATGCTGATGAAAAATTTGAATACTGTCTACTGGAAACTAATATAGAAAACTTTGCTGCAGTATATATTTGTTTCTATTCTGAACTTAAAAATAGCATTAATATTAGATGTATTTAATTAGTTACAATAGTATATTACATTAGATTTTTCTTGTCAGTAAAAAAACTTTTTTAATAAAATACTTGCTATGAAATTTGAAATAATACATAATTTCATGACAAATCTTAATTATAGTATGATTACAAAATATTTCAAAATTTGTCATAAGAATATTAATAATCTATCTAGCAATTTTAATATACAGTCTTAACAATAAGCAATATTTTAAATCTTTCACTTATACTTTCATGCTTCTCTCCTGTACTTCAAATTGTTTCATACGTAGTCCATCTACATATTCATGCTCACATTCATATATTTTCTTGTTTTTGGACATCAGTATTGCTATTTTTATCTTTTTAAAACTTGACCTATTCTATTATTTTAGAATTTATTTATTTTTGATTGATTTATAGTTAAATATATATTTTACTGTACTTTTTTAAAATTCATTTTTATTTTCCAGAAGTTTTATCTTCCTATTTTGACTGTGGTCCCATAGAAACTGCAAACTTAGACATTTACAATTACCCCAAACCAAAAGCAATGGAAGGGATAGATAACTGTACATGGTACATAAATACAAATCTAATAGTATTTTTAGTGACAGTTAAATAGACCTATTCTTATATGTCTATTTAACTATGAATACCTGATGCAAGCTGATTTATCTCAGAATGTCTCAGAATAAAGAAAGAATCTTATAAATATACCAATTAAATACTGCTATGTAAGATGATAAACTCAACAAATAATCTTTATAAGCAGTACAAAAACATTTTAATTGCTAATGTTTTTAGCCATTTTTAATGTACATATTTCACCTGTAACCTGAAATAGGTCAACAAGAACACTCCATCAACAACAAAGATCTCAGCATCCTTTCTATAGCATGTAGCACTTAGTTTGAACTATAATCTGTATAACTAGAATGGTATTTATTCTACACTTATCAACATTTGGGTCATCATCTCTTTTGCTATATTTGGTGTTATTTTTTCCTATATATTACATTATTTTTATTATGTAATATGATTATATACTAATATACTATCACTGCACATCGGGTNTTTTTTTTTTTTTTTTTTTTTTATAAATTTATAATCAGTCATGACAATTGTTGTTCTATTGACACTAATTTTTAATGTTTAATTATTGTAAAGCGCTTACAATACATTAAAAACTTTAATGTATTGTAAAGCTTTAATAAAACTTAAATATATATATATATAAATACATTTAAGTTTTTAACAAAACATTATAATAAAATTTAGACTGTTCATTTATAAGCAACTATTCAGTTAATTAAAATCTAAGTATTTCACAAATAGTGAATACTAAATTTATTTTTTCTTTCATACTCTTTATCATAAAAAAAAAATATACAGTAGATAATAAAATCATTTTGTAGCTGAAAAGTATTTGTGTGATGTAAATGAAGAGCTTTCAGATTATGTCATTAATAGAATAAATTCTTACTATACTAATTTAGAAATATTTCAAGAAATATACCAACAAAGTAATCTGATATGCTGTATAAAAGTAGAAAATCTTTTTTAAAAATCCTCCATTTTTTTTTATATCTGAAATTTTATTTTGTGGAAAAATAGAACATGATGATAAAATTTTATCATCATCATAAATTTTCTTCATGAATATTTTTTAAATGCAAAAAAAATTTACAATAAAAGCAAAAAATTATCAATATACTTGACTGTCAAAATGAAGATTACGATCATTTAATTTAATCAGAAAAAAATCAATCACAAAGTAATCTGAATCTCTAAAACTCAAGTTTGTTATTTGTTTTCAATCAATGAGCAAAATCATGTTACTAATACAGGTATGTGTCTGTCTAGAAATAAGAAAAACATTTCAATATAAAGATCAATTTATTAAATTATATTAGACCAATATATACTACACAAAATTAATTAAAATTCTACCTGCATAAAAAATTTTGCTAATTGTATTTCACAACTACAAATAATTAAAATACAGAACAAACTAACTTCTAATTATCAATTAGAGTTCAGACTATGTACAAAAAATTATTTAATTAATTTATTGAAATTGTTAGAACAAACTAAGTTTGCAATTTTTCCAAAATGACAATTTA